CACACACACACACACACACACACACACACACACACGCACACTTGCCTGGTTTCTCTACATCCTCAAAGATACAAACATCTGTACTTTCCAGCACACACATACACAACCCTGCCAAAGACAAAGGCATGCTTGCGTGCACATTTGACTTGATCTTCAAAAGATGAAAAACATCTGTCTGGCCCAACACACTTGTACAGACGTGCACACACACAGTGACTGTTTACATCAGTGTGCACCGGCCAGTTGATGAACTGATTATGTTCATCAATAAACAGCTTGGTGTGGAACTATGTGAGCAATGGCGATGATAACTTTGGCATCCAGATGTGGATTACACTTAAATCCAAGCTGTTTATGTTTATCAGGCTAACTTCCAGTTGGTCATGGGAGCAGCAGGATCCAGATAGAAGAAGGATTTATCATGAACTGACAAAAAGCTTTAACATGAGCCAGTTTGCCACTTTCTGTTCTTACTTTGTTGTTACCTGTTTTGTCTGTTTTGGAGACGTCCAAGCTGTATAGCTGTCAGGGCTCAGTTCCAGCTGCTGTCACCGCATCTTCATACAACACTGAAACAATAAGAAAATGAAAAAAGGTTGGAGTCTGCCGTAAAGTGTAGAATGAAAATGAAACTGTCATGCTTTAAAAGCACTGCTGTTTTCATGCATGATCAACAATCCACAAATGCCTGTTTCTGATCACAGTTGTGTATGAATACATTTTTAAGCTGACCTGAACCTCAGAAAAGGCAGAATCTGTTTGAAAAATAAAATGAACCGCTTCAGTTCTTTCACCACAAACACTGAAATCAACTCAATAGATGTCGTTTAAGTTTATATTTCTTTATCTCCAACATAGAACTCAGAAAATCTCAGAGCACTTCACTTGGTCTGGTCAGTTGTTGCAATGTTATACATAATCTCCTTGTACCGAACATATTCATTTGTTTTGTTTGCTGTCATACATGTAACTAAAGCTTTGTATGGTCTACAATTAAACTGTATGCAGTATATTATAATAAGATTGCCAAAGGTAGCATGCATAAGATAAAAAGTATTGGTCCTAGACCAGAACCCTGTGGAACTCAATGACTTGTTTGTGTGTGTGTAAAACTTACCATTTATGTGAATAAACTAGAATCTACTGTATAAATATAACTTAAACCAGGGCAGTGGGTTCCTTTGACCCAACGATATCTTTGGTGTCAAATTTAGCACAAGGCTAGAGCTTTTTCCTTAAGATGATATGCCAAGTGCTATAATAAACTGTAAATCTTGAATGAAACTTTAATCTGAACTTTGCTGTATGATTTGCAAATCGTTAAATTTCTTTTTAGAAATATAGGGGAGGTTGACTTCAGGCCAACAATGAGCTTTAATGGTCTTTAATGCTCTCTCAGATGTAGTTTTGTGTTTTTCTACATGTTTTTCATTGTTTGTTTATCCCTCTTTACCTGACAGACCCCCAGTATTTCTACAGTAAGTTTTTTTTAGGTGAGTGGAAAGCAAGAGGGAATCCATACTTAGTCTATATGGACTAAACTAAGAGTGAAATGTAACTATTTCCATTTTTCTGCATTCTTATTTCCTAGTTTGTGTCTCTCTGTCGTTCTTTTCACATTTTTTGATCTTTGATGAGAGGGACACAAAAAGAAAGAAATGGATATGAGAGGAAGAGGAGGACAAGATGTGGAAAAGGTCTGGGTTTGTAATCATACAAACTCCCCACAGTATTCCTCTTTGATTAAACTGGCTGTCTACACCACCTAAACTGAGCTCCAAGCATGCTGAACAACACACCGCACAAATGTAGAGTTTCAATTTTTATGCAAAATCACACGTTTTTCTATCACTTTTTCCAGTACAAACATAACGTGGATTATTTTTTCTTCTCCAGTTCAAGTATAAATTTATGTTTGCATACTGGATGTTAATCCTCTGTGCGTGTTTGTGCCTCTATATAACAGCTACTTCAGAACAAATGAAATTCTTATCAGCTGTTGTATTTTATCTTTAGAGATAAATTTGACTCTGTGTTGAGTCTACTGCCTCTGTAGGTTTTAGCTTTCCATATGCTGCAGACACTGGTTTGTTGATTTAAGACACTAATAGATTCAACAAAACGTGGAAGGAAAGATGCTCACAGCAGATGTATTATATGATACCGGAGGGTCCTGTGGCAGGAGACTGAGATTTACCTCAACTACTGGTGGAAGCTTGTTAGAATTTAAAGCTGTGATATATCACACTGTTTTAATGACAAGACCAGTCCTGCTTTTCAGTGCTGAGTTAAGACAAAATCTGTAATTCAAATCTGTACATGTAAAAAGCATATATGGACCCAGCACCTGCATTCAAACTTATGTTTGTGCCATCATGCAATTATTTAATGAAAGGAGCTCATTTCTGTTTCCTTATTTTGTAATCTTGGCCTCTATGTAGCTTTGGAATTAAATTGTGAAACTTGAACAATCTCAGTGAGACTTGCTCTCTCTGACATCATACAGAACCAAGAGCAGAAAATGACAATGTAGGTATTTTTAAAAAAATATTTTTATTTTAGGGTTTGTAGCCTGCAGAATAAAGCACCTTGAGCTGATGGCTTTATAAGTAAAACTAAACTGAATTTTCTGAATTCAATGCAAACTGATTCTGCAAATGCACAGATTATTTTGTTGAGTTATTCGAGGCCTCTGTTCAGGGCAGTGTATGTGGCACATGGCATTTTGTGTTAAACTGAACAGAAACCATCCCTCATCAACACAAACTGAGAGCATGTCAGTGTTTTGGAGTTCACCCATTTAGTCTCCAGAGTTTTCAACTTTTCTCTGTCACCTGGGCAGGAATTGCCTACATGTGTCCTTAATTACTCCAATCAAATGCCTTCCTACCAGCCAATCTCATAAAGATAGTCTTTATTCCCTCATAGTTCTTCACTCACACTTTTTCTTTTATATATATATCTCCATTTGTAATACTAAAGAGTGTATTCATGTTTGTTTTTCTAGGCTTTATGGAAATCCACGTCTGTTATACTCCTGGATTTGAGCAATGCTCTCAAATGTGGTCAGTAGAAAGAAACCATCTCTTAAATCTGTGTTGATTTGATAAATAAGTAACCAAGCGGGATCTTTCCGTGTCTTCCTGCTGCCTTTTCAGACTTGCATTTGGTGAATTAAATGTGCCCTCCTCTATCTGCTTGGTTTCAACAGCATCACAAAATTAAAGCTGTTCTAACAGTTCTTGCAGAAGCTTTGTTTGAATTTGCAGCTTAAAAATCCACACAGTCTGATGATTTTAGCAGAAGATGGGGAAGGAAGCACTTTGCACGAGATTACGGCACCAAAGGGTCTCACAGATGTTACTGTGGTTTAAGATTCAATAACTTAAAACCACTGACTTAAAGTTAGCAATAGGCTTCTAGAGATCAGCCTTAAAAGTTAAACAAGTTTGGATTCTGCTACATTAACAAAGATTTATTTCACTTAACATGTTAATTAAAATGACAAATGGCTGCATTAAGGCTGTACTTTCCAGTTTATTTGACCAATTAAAGTGCAAATACAAATCATTATCAGCCTTATTCATGCAGTACTTTGTACATAAGGATCTGACTATCTCACATGCTTATAGGCTTTTTTGTGTGTGCCCAAAAACACACACGCCTGTGGACTGAGCAATCAGAGATAAAATCATCATTCTGATTGTTGGATGACTAACAGATAAGCTTAAATTTTAATGAACCCGCATCACAATGAACCATGACACTATTCACCTGAATAAACTTTTTTGAAACACAACAACAACAACCGTGGTTCGTGAGAGAAAATATGAAGTGCTGAAAAGTACTGAAAAGTTTGCAAACACACACACACACACACACACACAC